GAATGTGTCCCTGTAACATTTAAATCAAAGGATGCTTTGAGCTATGTTGGGAGTAGAACCATCACATTTATTCATTTATGGGAAATCAGACTTTATAAAAAGAGTTACTGTGCCTTTGAACTGACAAATTCATGAATAAAAGCTTTTAGAAATAACCAACTAAACACTCATGATTAAAAGAATTTGTTTGACAGTTGCTTATTTCACACTAAGGGTCCAGAAATTAAAAGAGACATTTTTAGTTTACCACTCCCCCCCCTACCCAACCCAACCCAACCCAATCCAAAAAAAGTATCTTCAAAGAACTTCATATTTGTCTGATGGAGGAAAGGAATATATTTTAGAGAGGAATCTCTTTCAAGTGCTACAAAAGTACTGAAGCTTTCACTTTTAAATAATAAAAAAGCCCCAATTCCACCCATGTTTGGCATTATGCTCATGGCCCAGGTAAAACCATCTGTTACTTTTATGTCTTATTATCCCATCCTGAAAAGCATTACTGTGCAAAGAGTAGCAATCTGTACCAACAATCACATCTATTAGCAACCTAAAATCAATCATCACAGTCTAGCAATCCTTAAACTGCTCTGCAAGCTCTCCAAACGAACTACCTTACAAGGTGAAAGACAACTCATTATGCAGACAGAAGGCATTTTGACCACATTAGAACAAAGACTGTCACTGTTCTAAGCAGTGAATTGTTGTGGCTGTTACTTAGGATATCTCTCTTTATGAAATAAATAATATTTGGCAGCCTAAGTTAATTATTCACACTAGAATAACTATTTATAGTACATCACCACAGAACCGGTATCTGTTTCTCCAATCACAAATAAGTCTCAGCAGAAATACTTCTTTATACCAGAGATAAGGATTATAGGAGTTGCAGATGTTCCTTCTGCAAAGGTACACCTTGACTATTGAATTGTATTTTGTTGTAGCTTCATGCAATGAAACTTTGCTGGTCTTTCAAATCAAAGTGGTACAAGAGCTCAGTTATAACTTGATATGAAGTATAAATGACATATTGTTTATCAAGGTGGCTTTATGTATACTGGAATGATATGTATTCTTTGCACACAACAAGAAAAGGGATTCTGACTCATAACGACTAAAGGGTTGCTTTGGTGGAAGAGCTTGATCTTTACTGTGTGTCCCCCATCCTCCACTACTACATAAAGTGATATAAAAGCTACTTCGAGCTCTGCATAATTGGACAGCTACTCTGTACAGAAAGAATCCTTAAGTGAACTTGCACAATCACTTTTCAGCTGCTTTGTGTCAACAGAATGCCACAAAACATATGAAGGAGGGATTAGGAGGTTCTGGAACACAAAAGAGAAGGCAGTATATTGCTGCATATAGGCAAAATTTTATATTCCACTCGAAAGACAGAAAGTATATTCAGGGGGCTTAAACATTCAGAAGTCAGAAAAATGACAAAATGAAGGTTTCCCGCAACTTTAACTTTTCACCATTATGCTTATGTATTATGATAGGCTTCTTAATTATTATTACGTGAAAATGAATATTGAAGACACTTATCATCAGACAAACTGATCAGTTTGTCTTGACTTCATAGGGCTATGGATAGATAGATCTACACTGTAATCCAATTATATAACTGCAACGTGTAGCTATGCTCAAATCAGCATCAATCTAGCTAGTTCAAATGTTACAAGGTATGACAGAATGGAGTTTAGTGTGGACTAGCTGCCCAGGTATCTACCCATAGTCCCAGGTAGGTTTGTAGCCTCTACTGAACTCTTTCTGCTCTATTGATCTCTGTAACAAAGAGGGCTAGCTTAAAGTTATGTCAGGTGTATGTATATGACCTGAAATTACAATTTTGGATTGAGGCAATCAGGACTGGTAGTAGAGAGGATATCTTTTATTAGACCAACAAGATTTTTGCAAAACATTTTCTTTAATTGCAAACTTTTGGGCACAAACACCCTTCATTAGGCATTGGAGAAAAGATTGTATAAGTTCTCCTGGGTGGAAATGAAAGTTCACATTTCATAAGATTACACAGAGGAGTCAATAGATGGGCAGTCAATTCATAGCTGGTATGGAATCCATCACCTCCTGTGAGGATCTGTGACGATGCAAATTACCTTGAAACAAAGGCAGGAGCAGGATCTCAGGTTTCAGGTGGTCACAGTTGCTTCCTGCTTGGGAAAATATGAAAATTTCATTAAAAAAAAAAATCGTCTAAAATTTGATATCTTCCATGTTTCAGGTATCCAGGTTATAGCCGTATTGGTCTAGAGGAAAAGGCAATCAGGACTCATAGTAGAGATGATATCTTTTATTAGACCAACAAGATTTTAGCAAAAAAAAATTCTTCCCAAGCAGGAAGCAACTGTGACCACCTGAAACCTGAAATCCTGCTCCTGCCTTTGTTTCAAGGTAATTTGCAACATCACAGATCCTCAGAGGAGGTGAGAGGCTCCATACCAGCTATGAACTGACTGTCCAGAGGAGTTTTCCATCTATTGACTCCTCTATGAAATCCTATGAAATATGAACTTTCATTTCTTCCCAAGAGAACTTTTACCATCTTTTCTCCAATGCCTGATGAAGGGTGTTTGTGCCTAAAAGCTTGCAATTAAAAGAAATTTTTTTGCAACAATCTTGTTGGTCTAATAAAAGATATCATCTCTACAATGAGTCAAAGTATATCAAGTCCATTGTCTTCCCTGTATCCACAAAGCCAGTTATCTCATCATAGAAGGCAATCAGGTTGGTCAGGCATGACACCCTCAGTGAATCCATGCAGTTCCTGGTCATTTTAGTTTCCTCCAAGTGCTTAGAAATGGATTCCTTGAGGACCTGCTCCATGATTTTTCTGGGGACTGAGGTGTGACTGACTGGTCTATAGTTCTCTGGATCCTCCTTCTTACGATTCTTAAAGATGGGCACTATATTTGTCCTTTTCCAGTTGTCCCAGACTTCCCCCTATTGCCATGGATTTTCAAAGACAATGGCCAGTGGCTTGGCAATCACATCAGCCAACTCCCTCAGCATCCTTGGATAAATTACATCTGGCCCCATGGACTTGTACACATCCAGCATTTCTAAATAGTCCCCAACCTGTTCTTTCACCACCGAGGGCTGCTCAACTTCTCCCCAAACTGTGCTGCCCAGTGCAGTAGTTTGGGAGCTGACCTTGCCTATGAAAACTGAGGTAAAAAAGACATTGAATACTTCAGCCTTTTTTTCATCATTTGTTACTAGGATGCCTTCCTCATTCAGTAACGGTCCCATGCTTTCCCAGACCTTCCTCTTGTTGCTAACATACTTGTAGAAACTCCTCCTCTTATCCTTCATGTCCCTTGCTAGCTGTGATTCCAATTGCATTTTGGCCTTCCTGATTTCATTCCTGCATGTTTGAGTAATATTGTTAAACTCCTTTAAATGACTGAAAATGAAGTCTCATATGTGTTGCTCTCTGTGAGCAAACTATAGAAGTTCCAATCATTCCCACTATAACACATACAGATCATTTGCTAGTGAGATTAAACAAGTAGCAAAGACAAAGCCCCAAAAGCTTAAGAACAAGGAATGGTGGTATTAAATCAACTGCCTTTCATAGGTCAAGTTCTACTATAGCTTTGAAATAAATTTCTGCTGCAAAGGAACATGTACAGGGAAAGCATATTCTAAGATAATAATGAATCAAATTCATTCTGGAAGGAAAAGCACTTCTATTAATAATATAAAATTACCAGGCATTAATATGTATACCTGAACATATACAAACAGATCTCCACCCATCCTTGTTTCATCTCAAAAACATGTTCTGTACATTTTGCAAAATAATTTTGAATTAGTTTGTTGGTTCCCTTTTGTGGACAACGTTCTGCTGTTACATATGAGAGTCATCAGTTTCATTAACTATCTGAAGGATTATGTGGAACCCAAGTGACTCTCTCTGTTGACTCTCTATTCAGGAGGCAAGGTCCACACAGTTTTCACAGGGAGAGTGAGTAACAGTGAATGTGAAATGAGGTATTTGTAAAAATGTATTGCATTTATCTGTAAAGGTCTAATCAACATGTTATTCATAAAACCAACAACAGTTCCTTTTCATTTAAAAGAAAAGCAGATATCCATTATCAACTCTGAAGAAAACTGACTTGGTACCACTGAATTGATTTAACTTACATTTAACAAGCTAAGAACAGCAACTTTAAACCCTTTTAATGACTCAAAGATTAGATCCAAAGATAATGACCAGATGCAGAACAATGATCTGACCGTTTCAAGAGAGCTTTGATTTCATATTTTTGCCATTCTGCCTTTTTCCTTTTTCCTGATGTCACCAAACATGATCAAAGTAGAATATTGTGTCTGTCTGATGTATTAACTATCAGAGAAAGCTGGAATTGTTTAATACTTAACCAAACGTTTCCTATTTGTGGTAACATTTTCTGACTTCTCCAAAAAGACAACATTCAGTTAGAAATTCCTAGGGTATATGCAGGTTCAAGTTGTTAACATGCACATGATCTTTGTGACTGCATATGTGGTTGTGGTAATTACACAGGCTAATTAAGTTATTTCCATAAAGGTACATCTGCATATATAGTTAATATGATGGAACAAAGCTATGATATATGGGAGTGCAAGTCACATGGGTGTGTGCTACTATAAAAATAAATGTAATAAACAAAAAAGAAAGCTGCCTAACTTCTTTCCTTCAGCAAAAGAGCACAACAGGGTCCATGATGACATCTAGCCTCAGGTTTGCCTTATCCTCCCACTGGTGAACATTTATCTGTGACCTTTGTAGAATATATGTGAGCTCACAAAACAAGAACCAGCTTCCTTTCCGTTTTAACAATCAGTTTTGATGCTTTTACTTTTACAAACCACGTTCAGATTTCATGGTTCTTTCTGAAATTGTAAGAAGCTGTCATCAAGCAGTGCTGGGCACTATACTTTGCATTCAGCTCTATAGAAAACATTGTCTAGTATGAATTTTCTCAGCATACCTTGTTCTCTCTGTTGATCTTTTTGCTCCATAGATACAAGAGCAGAGAAATGAGCTTGATCATAAGCTAGAACAAGAGGTGAGCAGTGACATCTGTTAGGCGGAACTTCAAGTGGCAAGTAAATTCCCCCAAATGGGATAGGTGCAAAAGCTGCAAAGAAAGCAATAAGATTTTGTTAAATAAATGTGACAGAAAGAGTAACAGGAACCTGATAGCATTTATATATCACTGCACAATATAAATAGAGCCCCAGAAGTGTGTCAGTGGGCAGTGTGGGGTAAAATGTAACATTTGGAAGTTGGTAACAGACTGAACAGGTGAAACCTCATTGCAAAAACAAAGAAAATAAGAATTAAGGAACAATTATGAAACAATTCCATTCTTGTAACGTATTTCCTCCTTGTTGTAGCTGTTTATTGTAAAATTTGATGGTGAGACAATTATTTTTTTGTCTGATACACAAGAGCAGAACTGTATTTCTATGGTATAGGTTTAGTTACAAGAAAATGTTTCTCATTAATGACAGCAATATGCAAATGCCTGTGTCTCCTCTCTCTCCTTTGTGCTACTTGATTATTATTGTAAATTGAGGGTAGGATTATTTCTAAGCTAGTATTTTTTCCAGATATTGATCTAAGTTACATTAATTATCATAAATTGCAGCTACTAATTATTTTTTATAGTGATGGGAGAATATTTGAGCATGCATACTAGGGCTGTGTGAAGCTTCAAGTGCTAATTTGATTTGGAGGAGATTTGGCCTGATTCAGTGGCTGAATCTCTGAAACTGAATCGAATCAGGAGACCAATAAAAAGGTTGAATCGATTTGAAGCTCTCCAAATAGATTAGGAAAAGATTTGGAGAGCTTCAGAGATTTGGGCAGTCCCTGCTCACCACCACAGGAAGCTGGACCTGGACTCAGTGCTGGTAAGTAGTGGGGTGGGGGCTGGAGGAGGGAACCATTGGGGGATACCTGCCAGGTCCAATCCCCTGCCTGCTCCCCCAGCCCCTCTGAGTGCCCCCCCAACCCCTGCCCATTCTCTTAGCCCCTCCCCATGGCTGCCTTGCCTGGCCCCAGCTCCCGGTTCTTAAAAAAAAAAACAAGCCTGGCATTCACCAGCAATCCCTGCTGTCCCCCCTCCCCAACCCTATGCTGTGTGGGGGCTCTGCCATGAGCCCTGATCCCCCGCCCGCTCTCCCAGTCCCCTCCCCACCATGGTGGCCCCACCTGGCCCCAGGTCCTGGCTTTAAAAAAAAAAGCCCCACACTCCCCTGCAGCCACTGCCAGGGGCTTCTGGGGGCTCATGGCAGAGCCCCCCACGCAGCATGGGGCATCGGGGATCGCCCCCTCACCTGGCAGGAGCCAGTGAATGGGGTTTTTTTTAAACTTTTTTTAAAGAACCGGTGAGTGCTGGGCTTGTTTTGTTTTGTTTTTTAAAGTGCTGGGAGCCTGGGGCCAGGAGGGCACAGCCACTGATGGGGCTGGGAAAGTGGGTGGGGGATGGGGCCTGTTTGATTTGGCAAAGAATCTCCGAATCAGATTTGGCCGAATCAATTTGGGACAGTGATTCAAATCACAAAATTGAATCACTGTGCCCCGAATCAGCCGAATCTGAAATGAATACCAGCCACTTTGCACAAGCCTAATGCATACCTGAATATGTAAACTTACTAAGTAAAATGTAGAAGAATCTCATTATTTTACAGAGCTTCTTTTTTGGCATAAGGAAGCTAATGTTATGTCATACGTTTTCATAACTATAGCATTAAAAAAATCCCCATTAAACAGTAAATAAAATGCCCTTTTTTCACCTTACAACTAATAATGTCTCCAGGAGAAGAGAAAACTTGTCCACTGGTCTGAGCATATGTCTAAACTTGTGGATTCTAAATAAAGCTTCAGAGGCCCTTTTGGCCTCTGAATTCTTTCCCCCAACTAGAAAATAAGGATAATTAAAAACAGTTATCTACTTCATGGCTTTAAAAGAAAGTATTATGCATGTGTTAAATGTGTTAGTTTCAAGTGTGCTCCATTCAGTCCTACAGTCAACATTTGCCTTGGTTTTATGCATTGTAACAATGTGAGAAAATGTTTGAAAACAAACGTAGATCAGGGAAAAATGCTTTATACAATGGTGTGTGTAATGGTGCATTATTCACTGGAAAGTAGAGGTGGGGCTGCTAAAGACCCCACCTGTTATGTTGTCAGACACTTCTTGTAATAAAATGCCATTTTCAACTGCTTACAACATTGCATAACAGCATCAATTTGGGTTGAAAATGGCACTATGCAGGGTTTTGCCTCACTCAGGTTGATTTTTTTAAGCTTGAATCAAAATTGTGAAGGTATTTCCAAGAATGAGGCTGGGGGGGGGGGGGGGGTACATAATTTTGCCCTTATTAGACAATTTGGTGGCCTTTTCTTTAAACAGCTCAGTGACTACATTCTTTGACCTAGGGCCTTAGCAAAGGGTGGGCTTTGTGTCAGGGCTGGGCAGATTCTATATCCCCTAGAATTCATTTAGCTTGGAATAGAATCAAACTTCCTCTGGTGTCAGCAAAAATCTGTGGAATGTAATCAGAGATATGGGTTTTCTGGAAAATTTTGAATTGGAAAATTTTCCAATGCCCTAAATAGAGCGTGATCTGATTGAGCATGTTTATTTGACTTATTTCATAAACAAAACTAAAAAAGTACCCCCATGTTAATTTTATGTCCCAATAGCCACAAGCATTTGAACTGTAATATTTGATCAGGAAAAAATTAAATACAGCACACTTAGCATGGTTTAAATGTTATACCCAAACTAATTCAAAGCTTTATGTGGAAAGAAATTATTTTTATTGGAATACTTGTAAAAATGTAAAGACAATACACAATAAGATGCACTTCCCTTACATTCTTTGTTTAAATTTAAGAAAAAAAACCCCCAAAGCACTGAAAACTGTTGACACACTAATGTTAGCACACCCAAAGAACTGTGCATGATATGCCATGGTTGTCTACTCATCCACTTCAACAGAGTTTAACTCTCTTCTACTGAGGTCATTGCGGCACCTCCAGTTTCACTGTCACTATTGGTAGAATCACTTGCACTACTTATTAGTTCCATTTCTGAATCAGATTGAGGCAAATCTGATTCAGAACTACCTGAACCACATTCTCTCTCACTAAAGGATGATTTTACCAATGAGTCTATGGGCAAGGGCAACTTATCATCACACTGCATCTTCTTCAGTAATTGTGCTTCTGATTCTCCAGAAGCAAGAGATTTTGAGAAATAGAAACAAGCTTAGTAGTGCATTCATTTGTTAGCTTATTCCTCTTTTTTGTCTTGATTGCGCGGAAAGTCTTCTAGTTCTGTTCACAAGAAGCTGTGTTGGTGGAATGCTTAGGATCCTCAGAGCAATCCTGGACAACAGTCGGGTGTTACAGTATCCCTTCCACCATGTACGAGGAGACGTATTCTCTGCTGCCTGCCAAGTGATGTCTTTACTCCAAAGTTTTTCTTTTGCACGGTACTCAGCAATGCCTGTCATCACAACTATTTCATTGATGTTGGGGACATTCTTAGCTACTTCCATAATTGTATCGAGAGCAGTAGATAATTCATCTTCTGATAAATGTTGTCCTCTGTATAGGGGATCCAAAAAGTTTGCTGCCAGATGAACTGTATGAGAGCAAAACTCACATCTCTTAGTAAACATTTGTTTTACTACTACTACCTTTTTGGATAGAGGTGAAGAAGGCAAAAGCTCAATTAGATTGTCATTCAGTTGTCTGAATATCTCTTGAATATTTGAAAAGCCTGGTGTATCTCCTTCAAGTTTCTTGATAGCCACTGAAACTGGTAGTAGCAAGTTGAATGCTCCTTGAACTCGAACCCAGAACACATCGTTGTTGAGAGTCTGCTTCCGAATGTTCACGGGAATAACCTGGGATACTGAGTCATCTACTGAAGCACACTGCAAACAGTTCTTTGTGCACAGCAAACTATGTAAACACTTTGTAGCCAAGCCCCATCTACTTTCTCCTGGCAATAAAAGTGCACTTTCTTTCCCCTGCTTCTTTTTCTGTAATTTCTTCTAAGTCTGATTAGCAACATGATGATAGTTGAATACCTTTGCAATCGTTTTGCACTTTGCCAACATTGTCTTCATTGTATTCACACTTACTGTGTCCTTTGTCAGACGATTCAACCCATGAGCAAGACAGCCAAATACTACTAAACGAGGATACTTAGTCTTTAATATTTGCCATGCAGCTTTCATGTTACTTGCATTATCAGTTACAAGGGCTTATACTCTGGAGGGACCTGCACTTTCAATCTCTTCACGCAGTAATTTGGCTATGTATTCACCTGTATAACTAGAATATTTGGTAGCAATTGCTTTCAGGAATATTGGTTCAGGTGTTGCTAACATGATGTTCAATAAAGGATTTCCTGGTATATCAGTCCATCTACCTAACATTAGAGTAGGTGATTCTGCTTGACCAATCCTTTGAATAACCATTGTTTGAATTCTGTCAAATTCTCTAAGAGAGAATGTGATAAATGATAACATGATGGTAACTTATATGATGGGTGAATCAGTTTGTAATGTTCCTTCCAGTATTGATTTTCAGTTATGGAACAAGGTATACCACTTGCACATATAGCTTGAGCTTATGCCTCATCTGCTTTTTCTTGATCTGCTTTTGACATTTTGTCCACAAAGCTTGATACAAATCTTGACTGTCTTGAACAGCTACTCATGGTGGATTGCATATCTGTTGAGAGTGATCTTGAAAGTGAGGATCCTGCTTCTTCTTCCCCCAGACATGGCAGCTCAACATTTTCATTTTCCATTTTTTGCAAATCTGCTATTTCACTTGAGCTACCAAGTTCCTGCAACAAAAGGGGGAAAACATTTTTATTTTAGCCTATTCTAGTCTGGCCTTTTCCATCAGAAGGAGAAGCAGCAGCAGCTGGGAGCTTGCTTCCCCCCTTCCTGCGAGAAAGAACACTCTGCTGCTCAACTTGCTGCTCAGTTGCCCTGGGACAGCAGAGCCAAAGGGAAGTATAGTTTGTCCTCTGCCATTGGCCAGAGGATTAGGCTCACTCTGCTGGGTTGAGATAGTTAACTATTTATCTATTGTGTAATTTTAAAAAAATTATTGTTAAGCCTAAGCCACTTTGGGTGCTTAGTGCAAGCAGAAAAACAAGATATAAATAAATAAATAAGAGTTCAGAGTTGCATTAACAACTTTTAAAATTATAATGTTTTAAAACAATATAGATGCTAGTCTATACTGTGTGTTGTTTAACATATTAATTTGTTTACTTACATAGGATTCCTGAAGTAGACTTTGCTCAGACGATGTTGTTCCATCACTTCACCGTATTAGCTTTCTGTATATGGCTTGTACTCTTTCAGGACTGTTTCTACATGTTATTAAATGTTTCTTCATTCTTGTTGTGTTGCTAGCATACTCCTGCCCACAATATTTACATCTACCAACTTCCTTCCTTCCTTCAGTGGCTTGAACTTCACTCTAATGATGCCCCACACTAGTGTTTTTCTCATTAGGCATTATTATGACTACTTCAAACCAAAAGCACTAAAAAACTAACAGATCTTATGCAAACATTTCCAACTTCCCCAACTCAAGAAAACAAATGAGACACTGCTCTGTGCGTTTGCTGAACTGAAAGAGAAACAAAAATTAATCACAGTTGTAGTTTTGGTTTTGATTTCACTTGCAGTCTGAGATGAAATAAGAATTTCAGCTTTGGTTTTGATTTGACCTGCACAGACAATTAGGTGAATTCATAACTTGATTTTTGGTTTGGATTATGTGAGTGTATTTACCCTCTTGTTTACAAATCAATAAAACATATATGCACTCTCTCACACACTTTTAGGGATAATCACCTGAAAAACATTAATTACAACTTTGAAACTGACAAGCTTGCCTAATATTATATTGGCATCCATTCATTGTTACTAATGAATTTTATGAAACAATGAATTTTTAGAAATGGAACGCTTCCCATGGAAAAATAAAGCACTGGAAAATTTTCCAGAAAATTTTCCGCCCCACATCTCTCAACGTATTAACAATGTACATGCATCCTCCTCCACTAGTGCTGGTCCATGTAGAGCAGTGATTCTCAACCATGCAGGGCAAGACCCTTTAAAGCAGGGTGTCTGGCCCCGTGGCCTGGATGAGTGGCTTGGGGCCTGTCCATGAGCCTAATTGGGCCCATGGACCCCCTCCCTTCTTCCGCCCCAGCATATCTGATTTGGTGGCTGCTCCAGTTGGTACCTGCCTCAGCTGGACTGAGTCACATGCAACACCCACTCTAGGACATGTGCTACTTATGGCCCTCACAGGCACCACATGCAGCATGGGGCCAGGCCTGGCTGGAATAGGCAACACATGAGGAACCGTCCAGGAGCTGCTGGGGTGAGTGCCACACAGAGCATGGCTACTGCTCTGGTCATACTGCACCACTTGTGGTGCCTGCTCAGGCCACTTCATAGAATTATACAGCACACCACAGAACTGTAGAGCACATAAAATAGTGGCTCAAATTGCATAGGGAAATCAGTTTGTGAGGGAAACACATATTACAAAAGAAGTGCAGCTGCTGACAGTGAAATTATTATTATGGAGGGCTGGTAGGGAGAGGAGAAAAGGGTACAACAGGATTAGTATTTTGCTGACAAAAACCTATTACCTGATTAAATCTATTGTGGATGTCTCAAATACAATATTCATAGTGCTGTATATGTTTTGTTACATGAAGGAACTCGAAGGAATGCTGTGGGCTTCACAAATGGAAAAGTCTTTGAAATGTAGTTCATCTTTTTAGTCATAATTATGTAAGACTACCATACATTTTTTATTAAATTTGTTATGTTCTAAAATTCCTTAGATACTTCAGTTATGTTCAACGTCTTGGGGAACAGAGTATCAAAGCCCCTTAGTAATGTGGTCAGCTAGAGAGTCCTACTTACATTTTTTGCATTGCCCTAAATGAAATTATTCTCTTGCCATTCTGCTCTCTATTTCAGAAACATCAGAAGATGCTTTATAAAATACCAAGATCTGTTTGAATGTGTCTTTTGTCTGTGATAACCGAGTTGATTTAGTTAGTTGTAAAAATTGCTAATAAAAGACTTACCTTCTCCCCCTGAGTCTCTTAGCATTGTGTCTGCTACTACAACAATTGGTCTTCTCAAGATATGGGCTAAGACAAAAACATGGAACTCTTCTAAGCTCTCGTACACTGGGTCTTCTGAATTGTCAACTCTGGAAAGCACAGCATAATGACTTTAGTTGGTCAGGCAAACAAAAGCAGACATTCCATCCTTCCAAAAAGTTATTAGAATAGACAAAGACTGACAGAGAGAAAGAAGAGGTCTATATTCCTCAAGGAAACTATTATCAACACCTAAAATCTTTGCCTTTGCAGAATCTGGTTCAAATTCAGGCCAGGTTACAACTGATCTATACTCTTTACAACTTCATGTTGATAACCTAATCTATATCAAATGGATTAGCAATTCCCAGTCAAGATTCAGCCAAACTTGTATCTGAATGAGGCAAAAGTCTGTAAAACCACAACCACAATTGTCCCTCCTGTACATAAACATGAGTTGGAGAATAAAATACTCTCCAGCCTTCCCCATAAAGTTTGAAGCACATTGGTGTAGAAGTGCAAGCAGCTGGCAGTGTCATCCAAGTTATACCTCCCTTGTGGAGAGCGGATTTCAGTCCTATGAAGTGCTATTCATGATAGGACAGGAGACAACAGAAAGAACTAGGAAAAAGTTGTATTAAATTCTCCACACAATGAAAGTGTAGGATGATCTTTTAATATTTAGCTGCCCAAGAAAGAGAGGTTATTTGGTAATATTTCACATTTGGCAATATGATATTTTGTGTCAAAATAAGAGGCTAATTCTGTAGATCAAATTATATCCATGCTTGGACCCAAGTCTTGAACATCAAAGACAGCCAAAATGATTAAATTACCTACAAAAAGAATCTGGAAGAGACAAGTACACAGAAGATGTAGGTAGCAAATTAGAATAGCATCAGTTATCTATCTGGAGTGATCTTCAGACAGTTTCTGTTCTATTCGAAATCTGATGTCTGAAAGGTACCCAATGACAGAGGATGGAGAATGCTATAACTACTGGATGTTCATTAAGAGGGTCAAATAAATCTGGTTGACATGTGAATAGCCTTGAAAAGCCAGACTAAATTGTCTAACTGATATTATCCAAGATGAGTACAGAGATACAAAGACAAGGAAATCATCTGTAATGCTGGTGGCATGTAAGGTGAGACGTGTATTTTGTCAGTGCTCATTCAAGTGTATAGAGTCCTCAGGGCCGTGCCTTAGGACTTTACATAGGATCTATTCATCTATGGCCACAGGTATCAAGTGCCACAAAGAAAAATACAACATGATAAATAGGGAAGATAAAACCGGCACCCACATCCAGAGGGCCAAAGTTATTCCTGGGAAAGCAATTTCAGAAGTTCTCTTTGAAATTACTTTTAAAAAGAGGAGCTTGTGGTGTCATAAAATGGACTAATCTTATTCCCTCCACCATACGCATTTCCAGAAACACCCTGTTTTTTGCATACATTAACTTACATACACACATACATATGTGCATATATATGCATGAGTACATGCACGCACGCACGCACACACACACACACAACTATACAAATGTAGATAGCTTTACTGAAGTGAATGGTGGGAAGTACACAAGATGCAAATCTTGGAAAACTAGCCAAATGCCCATCATGAATGATGGATTTGAAAAGAGTGTTTATATGGTCTGCCCTGCCCCTGCCCATTCTGTTACCCGTTACTGCCAAGCCATAGCCCCCCAAGCCCTGCTGCTGCCCCTCACTCCCAACCCACTGACCCCAGCCCTGCCAGCGCCCCTCATTCACCAAACTTCAGTACCCTGCCCCCCTGAGCCCTGATGGTGCCCATCACTCCTGACCCGCAGCCTCCCACCCCGCCATCCCTGCTAGTGCCCCTCACTCCTGACCCACAGCCCTGGCACTGCCAGTACCCCCCACACTCCTAACCCATAGTCCCTCGCCCCCAACCCGGTGCCCCACACTCCCGACTAGCGGTCCCCTGTCCCCCCAGCCCTGCTGGAGGGGCCCCAGCTGTCCCATACTCACTGGGCCAGAGAGTGGTGGCTTCAATTCATGCAGGTGGCAGCAGAGCATGTCTGGCCCCAGTGCAGGCTGAGGGAAGAGGAGGGGAGGCTTGTG